CATCCAAAATGGCCTCTCTGAAGTGCCCCCAGACCTGACCCCTCCCCTGGCCACAGGAGCAGCCATGCCCTGGCAGCGGCGGGAGAGTGCAAGAGCAGGAGAGATATTTTCCTCTATTTCCCTATATGCTGTATTTTCACTTACAGTCAAGACCACAGTGGCACCCACCACACTGGAACCCACCACCCAGAGTGCCATCACCCAGAAGGACCCCTGCCTGGTGACCCCGCATCCAGGTAACCCAGATGCAGGGAGGGAGAGGGGAAGAGCCGGGCTCTGCTCCACTGAGACCGAGGGGGATCCTGTTGGCATTTTGGGATGGGGGAGAGTCAAAATCCTTAGAGCTTTATCAGAGTTGGATAACTGGGTACGTGCAGCTGGAAGGATTAAACTCTGGTGTTTCATCCCCTGTAGGAAAGGTGGATGATGATGTAAAAATCACAAGCATGCCTCATGTCGGGGCACACCAAGAAGAGGTGGAGGGAGGGTCAAGCCTTGGGGACTCATGCTGGTTTCAGCCTCAGCAGGGGACATGAGACAATTTTTGTCTACGTGTCCTCCTCCAAGTTCCCAGGAAAATGTTGAGAGCAGCAGCAGTAACGCTGCACTTGAGGATGTCGCTGCTGGCCCAGGTGAAGCCTTTTGTTTCACCAGCAGCCTCCTCCTTGGTGAACTCCAGGCAGGATCCTTGACTCCACCAGATCTGGCCGTAACACCAGCCGTCAGCACTTGGTGGACCTTTCTTCTTCTCTATTTCTGCAGAGACCAGTGAGGAGAAAGAGCTAAATTTGTCCTGTGACATCTTCATCTGGCTTCCGTTGGCAGGAACATGCCTCCTGCTCCTCATCGCCCTGGCAGTCACCGTCACGCTGTGTCAACGTAAGATTCACCCCTAACCCCCCGTAGATATTAGGAGGGTTTTGATTGCATAGAGCTGACTGAGCTGGCAAGGTGGAGCGCTCATGGCAAGGAGAAGCAGGAGCCATGAAGTGATTGTGCCCCCACACTCAGCACTTGTGAGGCCACAGCTTGAGCGCTCTGTTCAGTTCTGGGCACCTCAGTAGAAGAAAGACATTGAGGTGCTGGAGTGGGTCTGGAGAAGGGCAGCAAAGCTGATGAGGGTTCTGGAGAGCCTGTCTTATGAGGAACAGATGAGGGAACTGAGATTGTTTAAACTGGAGGAGACATTGCTCTCTATGACTACCTGAAAGGAGGTTAATCAGAGGTGGGTACTGGTCTCTTCTCCCAAGTAACTAGGCACAGGATGCAAGGAAACGGGCTCAAGTTGTGCCAGGGGAGATTGGATATTAGGAAAAATTTCTGTATTGAAAGAGTGGTGAAGCATTGGAAGGGGTTGCACAGGGAAGTGGTGAATCAGCAACATGGGAAGTGCTGAAAAAATGGGACATGATTTGTCATGGTAGTGTTGGGTTGACAGTTGGACAAGGTGATCTTAGAGGTCTTTTCCAACCTTAAAGATTCTATGATTCTATATTTTTCAAGCCCGAAACTGCAGATCCGTCCTTCAGGGGAATTGACCTTCTAGCTGTCCCCTTTACGTAGGCGTCAGATACTCAGGAAACAGTCAGTGTCCCTATTTTCCTCATCAGCAGGCTTAGCCTGAGATATAATTATCGGTTACTACAGTACAGGGAAGAAAAATAGATTATAAACAGAGAAAACTTACTCTGTCAAACTATATTGGCTCTACTGTCCTTAAATTGGTGTATCCGGGGTTACAGAAGAGCTGGCAAATTCAAATGCGAGACTCTCCTTAGGAGCTTGAGGTACGACCAAAGGCGTAACTTACACAGGTTCCCCAGATTCATTAAACCCATTTAACGTTCACTGAAAGCAGTTTAAATTTCTGATACCCACAGAAGTTACACCGAATTCATTAAACTGTCTGAGCTTGTTTGCCTGGAACAGCAAAGAATTTTGCTGCTGAATTAACCCAACTAGATCCTCACCAACTCCACAGCCTGGAGCTAACGCGAGATGAACTTCCAAGCTGACCTAGCTAAGAAAAGTATAATTTTTCAGTATCCTTCAGCCTTGAGATATACTAATCACAACAGCCTACAGTAATAGACAGGAATACATGAAAATACATTGATGAGCTACAGCCAAAAGTTGCTCTTCTTGAGGGAAGTAGCTGAAATTGCAGCAGAGCAAAAAAACATAATTCACCGTCAGTTTTCCCAGGCCAACACTGCTACTGATACTCACCTGAAAATATCATTCATGAAATTACTTTAGAGGACTGCTGAGGAAACCTGAGCTCTAGCACCGCTTCCTTGCTTGGCTTTCTTCAAAAATGCTTGGTTTATCCATTGTTAGACTTAAAATCAGCAAGCTGCGAGGGAATGCCAGCCCTACCTCGCTGCAGCGTTTGTTTCCTGAGCTGTGACTTGGTGTCTTGCAACTAAAACATCTTCTGTTTTCACTTTAGAAAATAGAAGACGAAGATGCAAGTGTAAAAGGTAAGAATAAGACGGGTGTTGACATTTTTCTCTTAAGCTCAGCAGCATCTCACCCTCCAGTGATAAAGCAGGCAGCTGCCAAAATGCAGCCTAAAACTTCTTCATTTGAAATAGGGCGGATGAGTGGGATCTGTGTAATGGATTAAGGGCAAAAGAGAGAGACAGAATTCTCTCCTCCTGTTTCTTTTACTATTAAGCAACTCAAATCACTGAGAACTGACACTGCAGCAGATAATAAACAGAAAGGCAGGAGGTATCTCTGGCAGCCTAAAAACTTTGCACATCACCTCATGCTTAGAATTAACACCACAGATGTGCGCTCCAACTTGAGCCTGGGAGAGACCGTATCTCACCCCTTCCCCTCCCCAAACCGTCCCTTGGACTTCATCCCGGGACCTGCAGCTTGTGCTCAGGCACTCGATGCAAGTTCTTGCATCCCAACCCCCCTCTGCACTACTTGGCACCGACAGCCCCACGGCTGTGCCTCTATTGCCCCAACAGGCACCAAGGAACAGCAGCAGAGAGGCTGATGCAGCCTGAGCTGCCTTTCCTGGGAAACAGCCCTGCACGGAGGGGTAGGTTTAGAGTTGACCTCTTCTCCAGGGCAGACAAACCCCTTTTTCCCTCCTGCCTCCCCTCGCACTCATCATCCTAAGAAACAAGGAAAACATCACTAGAATTGAGAACTGCAGTTTGTGCATTTGGAAGAAGAAATCTCTTCTCACATGTACATGCATTTGGCTTCTGCACATCGTCCTCCCCACAGCCGGTCTCCTCCCGTCCCCTGCTCTGCACAAAACCACTCCTGCACATTCCCCAGCCCTGTGCACCCCAGGGCCTATGGCGAGAGAGCGCTCGAGCACCCAAATGCCCGCTACTGCTCCGGCCAGCACTTGGACAAGCTGGGTTGCAGAAAAGTTAGGAACTGCACCTTCACAGCCCTGAGCTTTATTATTTGCAAATCAAGCATCTTTTAAAACAGAAAAATTCAAATTCCTTGTTATGCAGACATGGGTGCAAGTTAGTAGCTGTTTTGTTGCCCAAATTAATACACTCAGAAAGAGACTCTCCACTTACATTGACAGAAAACAGATCCTTAGTGTTTTAATTATGTTTTTTTTAACCCAGAACACATTGGAAATCATTGCTGAGTAATAATAATGCTTAAGGGAAGAGGCACTGAGTGACAACGTCTTCTGCCCTTTGGCTGCAATCTTTTTCTGTACATATCAGAACACAGCTGCACCCACCGACCTGCACTGTCTCTTACTTGTCTGAAAAAGGGAACAACCCATATTTTTTATAATGGATATTCATTATATCTAATGCTCTCCAGGAGCTAGATCATAAGGGTGAGCTCTTCCTGCAGCCTTGATTAGGACAATATTTGCATCCTTCACTTCTCTCAATCCCTGTTGCCAGCCCTGGGCAAAGACATTCTGCCCCAAAGAAGAAAACCACAGTGCAGAGCTCTTCAATTTTGATCGTGTGACTGGGCTGCAAGCCTCTCAGAAAATCCTCTCAAGGACAGCTTTCCTTTGGCAGCACTACGGTTTAAGCAACTGTAGCACGTTTAAACTTTTATTTAGACAGGAAAT